AAACTATCAGAAATAAACCTTAATAAGTATTACATTAATATTCAGTTGTACATTATCTTAAAAACTAGTCTTTTTTACCTGACTCGTTAATATTTTTTTCTCATCAACTTTTATTTCGTTTTCAAATTTTTTTTCATCCAGACCTAACCAGTATTGCATGCTTTAAGGCGCTACCCCAGCGAACGACCTTGAGCGTTTGGTCTGTCGAAGCTCACTACAATATATCGCGTAAGAAATCGCCAAAAGACGCCACCTACTCACGAACGTAGTATTATTTTTTCAATGTCAATGAACTATTCAATGGAAATAGACACGGGCGTACAATGAGAAATGTATTTTAAATTTCTTTATTCGGTATATTAGTTGCACTTATATTAGAATTATGTATTCTAATATATTATCTAATTAATAAAAATGACTATTTTGATTATTTTTAACTATATACTATACTGCTAATATTGAATTAGCTTTTTATAGTGTAAATTATAATATTTGTCGAAATATTAATTATGGATTCGAACTTTACATGCTAATGGTGCTTCATTTTTGTTATTTTCATTTACTTACATATTGAAAATATACTTGAATAGTAGGTATTATTATTTTATTTAGCTACTGAATTTTAGGATATGTTTTACCTTGAGGTCAAATATAATTTTAATGAGCAATAGTTATTACCTACTAATCTTATATCTGGCTATTCCTTATTTAGGAACAATATTAGTAAATTGAGTTTGAGGGAGATTTACTGTTTACTACATTTATTGTTTTAATATTTACCTACTGGGTAGGTAATTATTAAAATAATAAATATAGCATTAGTAACTAAATATATATTTTTTTAAATTTTTAAAATTAAAATTTTCGTATTTTTAAAAATTACTAAAAAAAGGGTTTGAAATAATAGATTTTCACAAAAGAAAGGAACTTGAAAAAAAAAGAAAAAAATAGCGGGACCAAAGCCAAGACGCGAACCACGGAACTCCGATATCACGCCCGACCGACATACCACCTGAGCTATAACGACCGTTAGTGATTTGTCGAAATTTATAGTATATATAAGTATATTGTAGCAGTTTTTTTATTGCTTGAAAACATCGACAAAAGGACATTTTCTAAAAATAAATCCAAATTAAAATCGTTGGAGCCGTATAATTTTCTCATCTGGTTCGGTTATATAAATATTTAAATATATAAAAATTATAAATTAAAATGAAAAGATAAATATAGTTACATAAATATTAATAAAATAAAATAAATATAAAATAATTTATTATTATTATTATAAGTTGTGGTTCGGTGAAGCTGCAACGTAATGGACCATGATCTGAAATTTTTATGAAAAGAAATTGCTGACGTCAATTATTATTATTCTTATTATTTTTTCATTACTGCCTTTTTCTACCTCACAAGATATTAGTAACTGCAAAAAAGAAAACTACGTATAAGTAAGTAAATCAGTAATATAGTGTTATGTATGATTCAGACTAAATAAAGGTTCCTTAAAATAGACGTAGATAAAGAAATTGCATAAAAAATTACTCAAATAAAAATGCAATAAACTTGTTAATTTTATAGGTACTTAGTAAAATATTAAAATAATAAGTTTTTAGGATATTTATGTAAAACATAAAGGTTATATTATGTTCTAACTACGTTCACGCTTGCGCATATAAAACCGCGGAATTTCACTAGTTTTATTATCAAAATAATAATTGACAACCCTACCCTAAGTTTGCCTTAATTTTACCAACTCAAACTCGTTTTAGGAGATCAAAACATAGAGAGAAAGATAGGAGACTATTTTTTATTTAATATGGTTGTATCTTTATTTATTTGTAAGTATATTTTTTGTATTTATTTTATTTTATTGATATTTATATATATTTATCTTTTCATTTTAATTTATATTTATAAAAACCAACCAGATGAGAAAACTATACAGATACCCCAACAATAATAATATAATAATAATAATATTCCACAACTATCACACAACGCCATCTAGTCCCAAGCTAAGCAGAGCTTGTGTTATGGGTACTAAACAACTGATAAACATACTTATATATTTCTAAATACATAAATATTATAGATAAATTACACCCAGACACGACCTGCGGCATAGCAGTCAGGGTCACTAACAACTAGACCAACAGGCCTGACGATAAATAAAATAATGTCTCTAGCTCGAGAGGAGAGGAGCCGTGGTAGCTCAGATAGTTAGCGCTTGCTAAAATTTTCACAGTGTGCGAGCAAACCGGGTTCGATCCCCGCCGGCACCAATAATATTGTAATTGCAATTTTAAGTGTTGATTTACCCCGTGCTCAGTGGTGAAGGAAAACATTGTGAGGAAACCTGCATGTCTGAGAAATGAGAAAAAAAAATATTTCGAAGACATGCAAAGTTCGCCAACACGTAGTGATAATTCCTTTCCTAGGACCCTTTCAGAAAATAAAATAGAAATAAAAAAATAATAAATCCAAACTTCATTTAAAACCAAACATATAAATTGTAAAGTAGCTGCAGGTATCTATAACTTGTCCATGTTTCCTAAAACAATTTTTAATTTATATTATAATGCGGATTTTTTATATTTAAAATTTTAATAATAAAGCATTTCGTACGTCTCAGCCGAGGCGCAAATATTTTTCGGCCGCAAATTTATAAGACCGATTTGTTATTGAAACATAAACATGGTTTTTTAATTAAATCTACCAATCATAAAACGACACGCATTTTTATTAAACACTTCCTATTCAATTCACAAAGTACCTATTATATATTTGTTTATATAAAAAAGTATATTTAAGTACAATCATAAAACTAAATGGAAACACAAAGTAGGAAAATGCATTGAGTGTTTTATAACACATAAATCAATGGGCAAATGTAAAAATTCTGGAGGCAGGCATCCCTATCGCATGTTTACGTACCGCACGGCTGTAAGATTTATTTCTAGGATACGGCCGAGTTACAATATACCGTGACGTAAGCGCATCGGTTGGTAGGTACTCAAATAATATTATATTTGCGGCGAAATACAGACGCGGCGACCAGCGACGCGGCTACCTCGTGTGAACGCTTACAGCGTAATGCCGCCCGCACTCTGCGCACGCCCCTTTATCATAGAAGTCACACAATTTTCGGAATTATTTCAATTAAAAGAGAAAAAACGAACTTAAAAATTTGAATAAAACGTGGAGAATATAATAGATTTTTTAATTATCTATCCATTAGTGTTATACTCAAATGATTAGAGCGTTGCGTTTAGCAACAGATGCATGTAATCAAGAATTTTAGTCATTTTTTAAAAGTTGATTTTAAATGTATTTATAGCACATAAAAATAAATTAGAACGTGGAATGCGATGATAAGATATCGAACATTAATAATGTACTTTTAGATGTAGTTTATTTTTCATAACTAATGAGATAATAGAGTCTGAAAAACGCACTTTCGCAACATTTTGGTCAGGGATTCACCTTAAGCGCGGAGCGCTTAGGTATGATGTACTAGCGCCTAAAAATCAAGAATCCAACGTATATATTATAATTTAATAATTAATTCCTATTAAACATCTCTGTTGGCTTTTAGAGTAGGGAAAAGTAGTCGAAATATTTTTATTTTATTTAACTTGCAGTGCTTACTTATATTTTCCCGATCAGAACAAGCGCGATTAGAACTAGCAGTAAGCTTAAGCAAATATTACTATCGAATCCAACTCAAGTTCTCTAACCATAAGTATAAGAGAAACATTAAATAATTAATTAAATCATAAATAGTTATAAATAATATTTTATGCGATATTTGTAGCTGTCAAGCGATCGTTTGTAAAACCGAACTGATTTTTGGAGCAATTGATCATATGGTGCGTTTGGTCGTTAGGAGTAGCAGGCTATGTCAGCCACTTGACAAGTGTATCAAATATGAAGATAATTTAATTCCGAATACACTGGTACAGGAATGCTTAGGGAAAACCGTTCATAAATTACGGTTGCTGTGCTTTTAAATTAAAAAAAATTGGAGCATGCGAATATATATGACAGAGAACCATTGCGCCTAAACTTCTTGCATTCTATAATGATTTCTTAAATTTACACGAACACTACACATTGAATAAAACTAAATTTACGGATTTTATCGCGTTTATTTCACTACTTTTACTTATTTTTAATTCCCGACGTTTCGGATGCTTTATAGCAACCATGGTCACGGGGGGGACTGAGATGTTTGACGTCCCAACGTCATAGTTAGTCCGGCTACCTTCAGTTTTTGAATATTAATTTTTGGTACGATTTACGCAAAACGAGCTTATAGTATCATGAAGTCTTGCAGTGGTATGCTTAGGTTTGGGTTTAATTTTGTTAATTATAGGATCCCAAGCAGGTGGCAGCACCCATCCATCTTCTCTATTGAAATTTGGATGTTTTTTAATTTCAATAGCCTCGCGTATCATCCTTGGTAGGAATCGGTGTTCTTTTGCGAGAATTTGTGGTTTATCAAAACGAATGTAATGGTGGGGACGATCTTGAACATGTTCGCAGACTGCAGACTTCCCGGAGCGTCGGTGCTTCACGTCAGCTATATGTTCTTTCACGCGGGTTTTTATGGATCTTTTTTGTTTGACCTATGTAAGAGAGACCACATTCACAATCTAACTTGTACACTCCTTCATCTTGTAGAGGGATATTACGCTTGACGGATGGTAAAAATTGACTAATCTTCTTCGGCGGCTTGTAGTATGTTTTAATAGAAGCTCACTTCAAGATGTAGCCAACCTTGTCTGTGACTCCTCTGACATATGGTTGCTGTAAAGCACCCGAAACGTCGGGAATTAAAAATGAGTAAAAGTAGTGAAATAAACGCGATAAAATCCGTAAATTTAGTTTTATTCAATTCTTGCATTCTATCTTGACCGGGCAGAAGTTAGTCACGCGAGACTGCGCAGATATATACTTTTATGAACAAAATACATGGGGTTATTGCTTTTGTTGTGCAGCTGTCGCCGTTCTTGGACGACTCGATCGAGGAGACGACGGCGAACATTATCAAGTGCGACTACTGCTTCCCGGCGGAGCACTGGGGCGGCGTGGACGAGCGTGCGCAGGCGCTCATCCGCGGCCTGCTGGCGCCCTCGCCTGCGCACCGCCTCGCGCCGCGGGCCGCGCTTGACGACCCCTGGCTTGATGAGGTCACATATTTATTACCTGTATTTATTCCACATTTTATAATCTTTGGCTAGATGAATTCACTTACCTTACTTGTATTTTTTTAATAGGGAAATAGGATGACAAACAAGCATGGATGGCTATTTCAGGATGAAGTTTTAGTATACAACGGTATTATTTGCAAGTACATGATGTAAATAAAATACAACAGTGCGTAGTCAGTCATCAAGGTGAATTAAATATTCACGAGTTTGATATTACATATTATATTATTTTAAAGAGTTTTTCAATAAGGACGGGTAGATGTTGAAATTAAATTAAACAAGCTGCGTGTGAGGTATTAAAGAAATTCTTTTTTTATTTGAAAGGCGCAGTGTGGAATATGTCTCATCTGTCATCGTTCAAATTAGCTCGCTTTGGCTTCTTACAGTGGCATGGATCCAAGTGGTCCAATTTTCGATGACTGCATAGATCCAGCTGAATTTGATCGGCGGCCTGTGTTATGTTTACCTTTAGGGCATCGGTCGATTGTGGTTTGTTTACATAGACCTGCGACTTCAAGAAATCCCACAAGCAAAAGTTTAGCAGGGTCAAATCGCATGACCTTCTTGGCCCATTAACATTACACCTGTGAGAGATAAGCTTACCCTCAAGTCGCTCATGGAGAATGTCAATCATGGCGTCCACTGCACGTAGCACTGTCCTTCTGGAACCACTTGTCGTCTAGGTCCATATTAAGATGGGCGATGGGTTTTTGTCTTTTCTGCCCAATGGGTTTTAATCGGGCGGAAAGGATTTAAATCGGGCAGAAATGGATTTCTGCCCATTTTGGCGGGCATAAATGAAAATTACAACAAATTATTTTTTATTTGCAAAACCTTATTTGGAAAATTAATAAATGAGTAGAACACGATAAAAAAATACACATACTTAAGTCGGGTTCGACTTCAATTCTCGCTTTTAGTACTTTAAACTTTCTTTGCTTAGTTATGAATTGCAAAAAAGGCGGAAACGAATACGCTGAGATTGATTTATTTAGTGAGTGACCAACAACCAACTTACCTACAGTCTGTAGGCAATGTCAGTGTACGGATACCTAAATTGAATACCTAATAGTTCAGCTACATTCGCGGCTCGCCTTGTGACTCGCGTGGTCGCTTCCGGAGCAGGGATTTTTTGGCATGCATGAGTACGCGAGGCGAGCTGCGTGCTCGCGCGCGCCTTTTCACATCCTCGCCTCGCGATCGCGACTCACTGGAATATCTTTCTTTTTCTATCGCTTTGCTTGACAGGACTTACCATGTAGAGATAAACAATAGTAAAAGGAAGTACTTTAGACGAAAGACTGTGATATTTTGTATTTGAAGAAAATAAGTAGATGGAGAATTGTATTGATATTAAATAAAAAACAAAACGTAGTATTGATTAATGGAATATTTATTATTTTTACTGTTCATTTATGTTGCAAAAATTAGATAAGGACACATTTCTTTACAGTATCAAACTTAATAAGTAAAATTCAAATAGAAAATAAATTGACTCAGTCATCGCTGTTACTTGAGTCTGAAATTTGACCACAATCTAAAAATTCAATGGTGGCAGTGCCTGAGGTCGATGGTTGAGGTGAGTCAAAAGTGTCCATTGTACTATCCGTTCGATGTACATGTGTGCCTATAGTCGGAGGTGTAACACACATGCATTCCTCATAGTCGTCATCTTTTTCCAAATTGCTCTTATTGAGCAAATTCCAATTGTAGGATATGAAGGCAATTTTGGCTGCTCTCTCACTCGTCAGCCGGTTTCTTTTTTTATTGTGAATGTGGCTGTGTGTAGAAAATGACCGTTCAACTGCAGCAGAAGTGCAAGGTGCCGTGAGGATTCGCACAGCCACTTTGCTTAATGCAGTGGACGCGCATAAGCCACTCCACCAAGTTGTTGGTTTTATTTCCTTTACATTTTCCCATAAAAATCTTCGGTTCCAAAAGTCCGATCTTGATCTGTAGGACGCTAAATTTGGCATCACGGTTAATCCAATGCTTTGTCCTACCTCGGAAATGAATTCCATGGCTTCTCAATTTTGATTCTGATCAAGCTCTGCTCCTTGTTCAGCAGGGTCTAATAAGTATGCCGCATAATGTATGGGCTTGAGGCACATTTGAATTCTCTGATCGACATTCTCTAGAATCTTTTCTTTGACAGCGTTTTCAACTATTGTTACTTCTGGCAAACAGAAAAGTAACTTAGATTTCATGTTTTTTAAAGTTAAAAAAACTTTGTGCAAGTTATTGTCATTGGATTCTAGACATATTATAGCCTCTCTGATGGGTTCCAGTATCTGGCGGCATTGCTTCAACATTGTCCAAAAATCTTCATCTAATAATGTTGATTTATCTTCCGGAGGTATGTTTGTGGCTTTTTCGTGGACAGCCAAGGTTTGAAGGGCCACTTTAGTGTTTGTCCATGCTTTTAAAACATAAACAATGACTTCCCCAACGGGTATCGCGGGGCAATTTTAAACTTTCGCCAACATTTTTTTCTTTCACGATTTTTGCCAGTAAAGATGTTAGGACTTGACTTTGTCGAATGGTTTTTATTATGTTTGTAGCCATATCTTTGAAAGCATTTAACGTATTGATTTTCATAATATTTTTACACAGCAGATGAAGTGTGTGAGCACTGCAGTTGAGTCCTACTATGTGAGGATAATTTTCTTTGACAATACGGAATGCCCTCTGCACATTACTCGCATTGTCACCAATGAGGCTGACAAATTTTTGTGGACCATATTCATTTAGAACGTCCGAAATTATATTGTAAATATATTCGCCTGTGTGCCGATGATCTTCTGAGGCTATACTCTTAACAAATATGGGTTCCGACTTTGATATTAAGATATTAATAATACCTTCATTCCTGTAATTTGACCAGCCATCCAGAAGCAGATGCAAACACTTTTGGGTCATCAAGTCTTCTTTCAGTTCACGGTGCATGCTGTTATACGTTTTTTCTAAAATAGTCGTAGAAATTGTTTTTCTTGACGGCAGCTTGTACTGTGGTTGAAGTTTTTCGAAGAAATTTATCCAAAGAGGATGCTCGACCATTGAAAGTGGTGTTCCGGTAACATATACAGCTTTAGCTAGTAATGTATGGAGGTTTTCCTTTATTCCATCTGACAGCGGTGTTTGTGGCAAATCTGTAGAGTTCTGAGCATTCTCACTTGGTACATTTGGCTCCAATGGATTCTCATTTTCTTTATTTTGAGTATTCCTTCCTTCAGATCCAGTGGCTCTTATCTGCCTTTTCCACTCCTCGGGACAGTTGATGCATTGTATTAAATGTCTCTTCATTTTTGCCAAATGCGCTCTACGATAATGCTTCTCGCAATATTTGCAAGTAGGTCCATCAGCCGTTTCTCTAAAATGACACCAGACTTGGGTAGTTTTTGGTCTCCCCCACCATGATTATCTAAAACAAATTTAAGATACTTAATACTGAGTATAAAATTATCGTCAATGCTTTTACTGGTAAAAGTAATGCAAAATTTCAAAAGGAGTGCTTTAATACAAGCTAAGATATTAGGGTCTCTATGTGGGCTGCTAACTTGACGTTTCTGGCGATGCATGGCGATCCCAGGGGAACGGGTACAAGTTTGAAATAAATAAATACTTGAAAAAATAGCGTGTGAAATAGTGAATCTTAGGATATAAATAAAAAAGAATTCTTCTTTTCTATTTTCAAAAAATCTAATGTAAACTTCTACCATACATTCCATTTTAGATATACATCAGACTATACATGTTGATGTTGAGACCGCCTTTATGCCATACATAATAAAAGCTGTTATCGCAGTTCAACTGTTTAACTTGATGTGCTGCCGACTGTACAGTTTTCCTTAATAGACGTACTAATATAGTCAATTTTTTTATTCCAGTTATTTTTAATGACTTAAAAATCTTTCGTATATCGAAACATAATACGTCAAGCAATCGTCATTTGTGACTCGAATTAATTTGGCGAAATCCGGTAGGACACCACAATGCAATACAAAAAAAGTAGATCGACCATCGACGAATCAATCTCATAGTTTCAGATAGTGGGTAGACGTCTAAAAAGTTATGGCAATTAATTTCACGCGTAAATGAATATTAACTTTAACGAAGTTAAAATAAATGAATGAAACAGAATCAATATTTTTTACAGCATGTTATTTTTTCTTAACGTACATTTGGGAACGCCATTGCCAGCGCACGTTTTTTGTTTGCTTACGCGTTTTCGGTTCGGTGACATGACGTTGGAGAAAAGTTTTGTTCTTCCAGTATTTGTTTGTTTTAAAATTGTTTAGCAGTGAAGTGAGTCCATTTGTACGTTAATAAGTGATATCACGTGACAGTTTATATCGCTTAATAACTACCTACAGTTAAAAGGTACGTAACTTAATCTACTTAATCTCTATTTTTTTTTAAATTGGTAGAAAAATATTTGTTTATACCAAATTAATAGCATTGAATATAATTACGTACGTAATATTTAGATAGTAGTATGTAGAAGTTAACACTAGATTTCTTTAAAATTACACGGAAGGATTATTTTTTTATTTATATCCTATGGTTCCCTATTTCACACACTATTTTTCCAAGTATTTATTTATTTAAAACTTGTACTCGTTTCTCTGGAATCATGAAAAAATTACCATGTTCCACATACAGTACACGTAAACACAAAGCCGAAAATGTCTAAACACCTGTCTCTAGACAAAATGTGAACGTACGTGTACGTGTGAACAAGGATGCTTTTTGTATTAGATTCCTCTCAGCAGATACCAATAAATAGCTTTCATAGTTAAAAAAACGTCAGATTTTATAAAGTAACTTCGATTCTAAATTATTTTATTTAGTTGAAAAAAAATCGTCACTATTATAAATATTGAACATTTTATACTTACAACTTTTATTACGAAGACAAAACCAGTTAAAGCCGAGGTATGCGGGATCAGATCACAATAAACAATGCCGGGTCGTTTGTTAACTCACTTCACAATAAAAAACAAATTGCAGCGTACGTACATACTCAGAGAAACAGAATACTCAAGTGAACGGGTACAGAACCGTGGTATGATAACGAATGTCGCCCCGCGTCCCTTGCCCCGTTAGGTTGCCGTGCCGCACACAACCGGTTTTCGGTGACCGAAGTCATTTTTCCCTTTTTTTGTTGTTTAATAATACCTACGTGATTTTTTATGTACAAACATTTAAATTAAGTTCGTATTTCACCTTGCTGTAACTTCTTTTGTTATCGATTAAACACTGAGTGTAGGGAACAAATTAATTTAATTTCTGCCCGGCATTTATTAAAAACGCCCGGCGTTTATGGGGCTGAAATGGGTTTTAATCCAGCGATGGATTTTAATCCGGGCGTTTACCCATCCCGAGGTCCATATGATTCAATTTAGGCCAAAAGAAATTGGTTATCATCGTTCTGTAGCGCTCACCGTTAACGGTGACAGCTTCACCAGCGTCGTTTTCGAAAAATTACGGACCAATGACGCCGCCAGCCCAAAACCCACACCAAACACCAGGTTTTGCCCATACACGGCAATTCTGCTTGTTAACACAGCCAAAAAATGCTCCTCGTCGCTAAAGATGATTTTCCGGCCAAAATTGGATTCCTCTTGCATACGATTCGAATCCCAGTCAGGGAGCAAATGGCGTTGTCTATGGTCATGAAAATTGAGCTCTTGGGTCAGTTTGATCTTCTACGGGTGTAGCCGTAAATCCCGACGCAGAATTCGCCAAGTTAAAGTCTGTGACAGGCCGAGTTCTTGTGCACGGCGAGGAGTCGACTGACTCGGGTTCTGCTGTACTTACACTTTCACGATATGGCCGCATAAGAAAAGTTCATTGCGATAAAAGTAAAACGCGAGTTGATTTGCGAGTTTACCGACAACGGAGCGATGTACTTGCGATTTTGCACGAACGAATACGAGGGCGACACTGAAAATTTCGGGAATCAAGGAAGTGACACAACATTACTATTTAAAAATCTACTTATTGCTTTTCGAAGTATTCTCCGCGAAATTTGACACATTTTTGCATAACCATTCCATTCGGAAGTTGGGGTCTCCAAAATGGCCGTTTTGTAGGCATCCACAGCTTCTTCAGGAGATGAAAATCTCTGTCCACGCAATTTATTCTTTATTTTAGGGAAAGTATAGAAATCATTAGGGCTTAGGTCGGGGCTTTACGGCGGATGGTCTAGTAATTCTATGTTTTCTTGTTCTAAAAACTCTTTTGTTCTGTGTGCGGTGTGAGAACTCGCACTGTCGTGATGGAGGATGATGCGGCGGTTGCAGTTCTCTTTACGGAGTTCAGAAACGACCTGTGGCAAACAAATGCTAGCATACCATTCTGCATTAACCGTTCTTTGTCCCTCAAGAGGAATAGTCGTAACATGGCCGGTTTTGGAGACAAACGTGGCCACCATTTTTTTTTTGCAACACTCCGTGAACGAACAATTTTTGTTGGCTTTAACTCATTTTCGAACACCCAAACTCGTGACTGGTTTTTTGTTTCGGGTTCGTACGCGTATATCCAGGATTCGTCACCTGATACGATGTTGTATACAGCATTTGAGGATCCTGCGAGGAATCTTTCGAGAGTTCTGATGCACCAAGTAACGCGAGCAGCTTTTTGCTCTTTACAGAGCGAATGCGGTACCCATCGGGAAAACAACTTTTTTACACCTAATTGTTCATGCAAGATTATTTGTGTTTGACTCATGTCAATGTCTAAAGTTGTCTGAATTTCACGGTATGTCACATATCGATCGATCTTGGGTGACTGCAGTTTTTGGACGACCTTGACGGGGATCATCACTGAGCTTGACACGTCCACGTTGAAATTCAGCAAACCAGCGATAAATTATGGTTTTAGATGGGGCTTCATCACCAAATGCAGAAATCATCCGGTCAACACACTGTTTTTGTGTTAAACCACTTCGAAAGTCATAATAAATCATCGCTCTTGAATTTTCTCGAGTCAATTCCATTTTCTCAACGACTAAACAAGTTTGACAAAACCTTGTGACAAAACCGAGAATCTTTTTTTAAATAAATAAATGGTATTCGATTTTTAAAAGCAAGGAGTTTTCAATTAAAAAGATTTTAATATGACAGGAATAGTGGAAATATTCCATTCCCGATACTTTTAGTGCAGCCTATGTATGTGGCCACATACATCGCTATAACGCGAACATTCTCGTTATCGCGATATGTGTGGCCGCGGCATATAAGATACTGTTCATAAAGCTAGAAATTATTGGTCCCCCAATGACTTTTCAACATCGAAACGTATTATACAGGGTGAAAGGGTAACGAGTTTAATAAGTAAATGAGTCGTACCAAAAGTGTAGATATAATTTTTATTTTAATCATTACAGGCGCCAACGACTCCGTTGTCAGCAACACAACTGAAGACCTTCCTAGATCGACGACGACCGGCTGGTCACGGCAACGCATTGCACTCCTTACGCTCACCCGACGACACATGACGTCCCGAAATCGAAGGGGAGGCGTTCCCGCACGCACTCGCTCCCTTCAATCCTCTTGATGAGCAACGCGCCCTCTACAAAGCCACGCCCACCAAGGATCACGACTGAGGTCCAATCCGCGAGGGCGAACTTTTGACCTTACCAATCATTACAAAAGAGGTCAATTATCAGTTCTTCATGGACACGGAAGTTGAATGCTGTCTCTATTCTAACCTCAGAATCGCCAATAAACTGGAGTATAAAATGAATTGATTTTTTTGTATGAGCATGAGCCGCCCATATTGGCCTATATCGAAGCTTCTAGAACTTAAATCAATATTTATCATTTACTTGTGATTTAAGAGAGCGTCAATCGTTCCAGTCAGTCGTTGACATCTCTGATATACCTTAACATTCGTTCACACTCGACTTAGATTTTATAAGTTTTTAGGTTATAGTCTAAATATAAAAGGTAATCGCTCGTATAGTCAACGCGCCCACCTCTCGATTTCCGTGCTGTGAACGCGGAATCCTTGCTACTTTTTATTATTTTAAATGAGCGTTTCGTTATTGCTAAGAGAACGCTGCTGTTATTGCTCTGCTGCTCGCTACGGCACCGTACTGCGGATAATTTTTACGGTTTAAAAGCGAAGAGATATTGTATATTCGGTGCATAAACAACTAATGAGCTGAACAGCCTATTGCTATAGCGAAAGAAGCGTAAGACCAGGCCGTAGGAAACGCATCTGGCAAATCGTACCCGCCTACTCGTGAATGATTGTCTCTCGCTTGTGTAATGTTTGTATGGATTTACCGAACGGAA